ACCCCTCTCCAATCCTCCCCTGCCCCCTCCAACCCCGCGCCCGCCCTGCTACCGCGTCACGCTGATCAAGTTCGTCACCACATCCCCGCCCCACAGGAAGCGGTTGACAGAACGTGTGAGCAACGCGTCGTCGCAGCCTCGAGTCCCACACGTTTATAAGAACGTACCGGTACCGCCGATACGTTGCTATATGATTTGGCCGAATATTTAACATGAATTAAAGTTGGGAGCTGGGTAGCACTCTTCTTAGCTCAGCCGTCTCCCGTATTGACCCAACATCGACACAAGTAGAGGGGCCCGGGGCTGGGGTCGCCTAATTAACTAATTGACCTAAGTTGGAGGGCTTCTCATGTTTCTTGAGTAGATCAGCAAGACTTACGATAGGGTGGGTGGGGAGGCAAGTGTTGTGGGTAGAGGTAGGGCTGGCTTTTCAGCCCTTTTCTCGAAACGTTTACTAACAATTACAAAATTGAGACGCGTCTCGTTTTGGCAGGTGCAGAGGCGACCCATTTCATATTACGCGCCAATGGTCTACCAGTCAGGAAGCGTTCATTTGTTTTTGTTTTGGTTGCTTCCTTTTGTCTGCTTCCCGCCACTTAGATCCATAGGATATATAGCGGTTTGATTGAGCGGTATGTCTTGTGTGTGTACTTGAAGTATTGTAATCTTTCACCCTCGCGTAGACCTAGACATGTTGCTCGTCTTCACTTTCAAGATTTCGTGCCACTGACTCGTTTACTGCTGTTCATAGACAGTGGCTGCTGACCACTGGTTAGAAAGGTTAACCACTGTGTTGTAAAAATTTCTGAAATTGTGTCAGTTTTTACACAATTATTTCACCGAGCATTTTCATTTTTCGTCATTCCTTAATGTGTCACTAACTGTCCCTCAGCTCCATTACGTTATATTCCTAAAGACGTGTTTTTGTTCCAGATACTTCTTTAGCCGTTGGCCATGGGGAGAAAGAAAACGCAAGAAAAGACTGGTGATGAGAAGGATGACAGTGAGGATGATGTTTTTAAACCTAGAACAACTAGATCACAGAAGCCAAAGACCACCACCAATAGAACATCAACCAAAAGTAAACCATCAAAAAAATCTCAAACTGCCTGCCATGTACCTACTGAGTCGAAGCCACCAGAACCTGAAGACGTAAAAGAGAAGGAATCCACTGCTCCTCAAAAAAATGAATTTTGTCCAATTTGTCAAGTTCCACTGAGTATTCTTAAAATCACGCCAGCCAATCATACTGCAAACTGTAATATTTCAGCAAACCTCCCAGGTATTTTTTTTAGGAAGGGTGGTCTTGTTTTATAATACGTATTAGTGTTTTTCTTTGATATCTGTAGCTTAACTGTTGTTTCAGCTTGCCCAGAAGAAAATAATTGTCTTAATACTAATATATTCCACTACCGCGACTACTCACATCATATCCTAGCAGCTTTCAGAGTTTCTGAAGAGTATGTCGAACCAGATATAATTTTTACTCCACAGAAAGCTAAAATGAAAAGAACTCCTCTGAGAACATCTGGGAAAAAAAGACCTTCTACATCACCAGCTCTATCAGCTTCGAAAATTTGTAAAACAGACGAAGCAAGCTGCTCCCAGGATATTTTCTTGGAATCTCCTAGTATACCCTCTACATGTAAGTATAGGTGTACCATGAAAAAACTGTTTTGAAATCATAACAATTGCTTATGTACCTTATGCCACTTTTTTATTACCAGCCTGTGGAGTAGAAGAGAGAAAAAAAAGACTGTCATTCAACAGTAACAAGGATCACACTGAATCAGATCCTGACGATCCTGAGATCCCTGCGAATTTACATGAAACTGATGTCATTTTAAGTGACCTTATCTTGAGTGAAGAACTTAAACCATTAGAACTTTTCAGTCATCAACCATTTGTAATTAAAAGAGAGCCAAGCTCACCAAATAGTATGGATGAATCTAGCTTACCAAAATTGATAGCCCCAAATGCAAAAGTCATGATAGATTATAATCAATCTTTGACTTCGAATTGTGACCAAGAGATTGTTGGTAACAAAGTGGAGTGCACTGAAACATGTGAAGAGATCCTAGCAAATGAAGACAGTCTGCAAGCCAACTGTTCAATAGTCTTGAAGAAACATGGTCTGAAGAGTCCAATGTCAGTTAATTTATATTTGAACAATTCAGGATGGGAAGCTATAGAAGTTAACAGTAGTGTAAACAGTAGTTTACAAAAACTTAAAATTTCTCTCTGTAAATGTAGCAGTAGTATTTGCGTTGATTGTTCTTTGGGTATAAACATTGCAAATGGTGATGAGAATTTCATTCCCAATGATCATCAACAACTTGAAAATTTTTTTGTTTCAATGGTAGAAATGGGGCTCAAAGAACCACCACTTAATTGTGACATATTAAGTAAAGAAAATTACCAGGCAAGCTGTAATCAAATTACAGTTTCTTCTGTTGCTCAGAACAAATGTGTTCCTGTAGAAAATGGCCAAGATCAGGTGCTAAGAGAGGTTGACAGTGACAAGATTGGTACAAAACCTGTGGGAGAAACGAGCAAGACAGATAAAGTATTAGATGCATTTTCTGTCTTGAAAAGAACTTCTGCTGATGGTCGTCGAAAATCAGCAACATTGGCGGCTCCATTGTCTGTGAGTTCTCCTATGAATTTTATAGTGTATCTAAGATATAAACATGCATGGCATTTTACTGGTTTTCTCATATAATTACTCTTAAAAAATTGCAGGGTTTAAATTCTGCTCCCACCGGTGTCCCAATGGTTGTGTCAAAGACCACTGGGTCATCCTGGACTCTTGTTCCTTCCAAAGAGAACAAGACAAAACCATCTTCAGGGTGGGGTCAACCTTCTAGCAACAAAAAACTGCCTGCATACAAAAAAATCCCAGGTATAATTGTTACCAAAACTCAGGATACTCAACATTATTTCTAACGTTTTCACAATTCTTATTATTTGATTTTCATCCTGCTTTCATTTTTAGACACTCCATTTGTTGTGGATGCATTTAGTTATGGAATAATTCCAGGGATTAAAATTTATTTTTTAAGTCATTTCCACTCGGACCATTATATTGGTCTAAGAAAAGACTTCAACATGCCAATATTTTGCAGTCAAGTTACAGGTACTGTACAACATTTATTTTCTGGTTTGTTATTAACTGTCAAATATGTTATGGTATCTGTTGCGTTTTGATACAGCAAATCTAGTTAATTTGAAAATTAAGGTAGATAAAAAGTATCTACATATTCTCAAAATAGATGAACCTCGTATGGTTTGTGGAGTAGAGGTTGAGGTCTTTGATGCAAACCAGTGAGTGGTCAATACGTGTAATTGCCATTACCAGTGCTTGACAAATTTTGCTCAGTTTCATTGTTTGCTGTATGTCTCTATTTCAGTTGCCCTGGAGCGATCATGTTCTTATTTAGGCTCGCAGATGGCAGAGTGTTTTTACATGTTGGTGATTTTCGAGCCCATACCAGTATGGAGGAGTTTCCTCAATTACGTCAAGTTGACAAACTATATCTCGACACAACGTAAGATCTGCTAATTATTAAAAAATATAACTTGTTAATTTCTTGTAGATTTCATACAATTTCTTTTCTTTTATTCTCTTTTATTCCCTTTTAAATTCAATCCATAGATACTGTGATCCGTCATATAATTTTCCTTCTCAAGAAGAAGTTGTTGAGAAAGTTATACAGACTGCAAGAGAACATCTTTCTCGAAATAAGTCAACTCTTATTGTTTGTGGAACTTACACCATAGGTAATATTCATTTAATGTTCTGTTGGGCTACCAATGCTTGTAAATACGTTACATTTCATTTCTGTTTTCTACTACCAGGGAAGGAAAAAGTATTTATGGGTTTAGCTAATGCTTTTAATATGAAAATTTGGACAGCAACTGAAAAGAGGAGGGTGTTGCTTTGTTTAGAAGACCAGAACATTATAGGTCGTCTCACAAATGACCCACTTGAAGCTCAGATTCATGTTTTGGCTATGCGTGATATTTCCTTTGAGGTAATCTTTTAAGTATCTATCAAGCAAAACATACATTAGTGATTAAAAAAAAAAAACACACAATTGTCTCAAATGTTTTTACAGATCCTCCCCAAACATTTAAGTAAGTATAGCTCAAAATACTCCCACGCACTTGGTTTTAAACCCACTGGGTGGACAACCTCCACATCAATCAAAGGAAAACCAAGTGATTTTCAAAAGAACAGCCGTGGTCAAATTACTATCTATGGTAAGTTCTTTGTTACATTTTATAAAAATGGGGGAAACAGTCAGTTTTTATGTTTTTGCGCTATTTGTTTCACATATTTCTCTTAATTTTCTGTTCCAGGTGTGCCCTACAGTGAGCATAGCAGTTTTTCAGAATTACGCCAATTTGTGAGATTTGTTAACCCGAGGGATATTCAGGTTACAGTCAATGTCAGTAAAACTAGTCAGTATAGAAAACTGTTCCAGCAATGGCTTTCTACTTCTCGGGATATTGACACTCAGTCCAAAATGAATCAGTATTTTTCTACTTCAAAGTAAAAATGATTTCACTATATATTTTTGTTCTCTTTAATGTTTTCACCTACTCTGATTGAGTTGTATTCATTAAAAGAAAAGTTATTTTGCAACCAATTGTTTACTATCTATATCACTAACAATCAAGAGATTCAGTTCAATAGCTATTTCTGTGCCTTGATTATTATTTATACAGTATTATCTATCCTGTTCCTGTTTGATGGTGCAAAGTTTCTCTTAATTATTCTCTGAAAGTGAATAGTAAATGTGATTGAAACTATACCATTGTTTTTATAACTTTTTAAACATATTTTTTAACAATTTTATCTGTTTACTACTACTATTGCTATGTTCGTTTTTTAATGGCTTATTAAATAAATTTACAAAAAAAAAAAAAATGTGTGAATCATTATGTCTTTTGCAGATGAGTCCTAGACAGCACAGCAGTACCCAATGTTAAAGTGATATTTGGTTGACCTTCCCTTGTTCCCTGCCTACCCGCTACCCCAAACTCCTCCCTCCCTTTCAGCTCCTTCCGGAAGCAAGGTGGGCCCGCAGGCGCCAGCCGACAGGCGCCACCACAGGCTGTCGCGGACCCTAGGCAGGCCGAGTTCCACATAGATACTAATCGTCAACCACGACCTCCCAAGTCAAGTTTCGCTTCGACGCGCTCTGTATCATTCGGAAGCGAGTCGATGATGCAACCTGATGCCACAGATGTCCCGCAAGGTGCATTCCCCCTCCCCCTCCTTGTTTCAACTCCCTACTGCTCCGGAGGGGAAAAAGAGGAGAGGGGGTGGAGGGGGCTGCAGCTGCGACGATGTCATCATTAAGAAGATTAAGATGTACGACATGGCCCTCCCGACTACTGCTCTCATGTGTATTCGCTCCTCGGACCAATGTTTTACTGGTGACAATTGTAACACGGACTGTGCGTTGTACTGACATCCGCATATGCGGGCCGGGCCCGTACGCAGCAAGTTGGACGTTTGGCAGCAAAGGGTAGGAGGCCGAGGCAAGGCGAGGCGACGGTGATGTCGAAATCAACCACTAGCTTCCACAAGGATTATAAGCCCGCACTTGCCCTGAAAAGCGAGGAATCAGGATTGCAGTTTTATGTCTTACTTGCAGCATGTCCCTTCCCTGGCGGGGGAAGTGCCCGACCCATCGGCCCGGGGCCCCAGGAGGCCCCTCCTGGAGTGCGGGAGTGGAGGGAGGGGGCAGGCGCGTTATTGTTTGAGCAGCGCTGGCCGTCCGGTAAAAAATGGGAGACGCGGCGGGAGAAAAGGAGCAACGATGATGTCGCTTCCAATTGTATAAAGTGTTGCGCGAACCGCTAGTTTGGCTAGTTACTTTCCGGAGCGCGAAGGAACAGCAAGTGCCGACGAGGGGCACAGCGGCACCCACCTGCACCCTGCCATGGATACAGTTCTGGTGTGCGCCTTGAAGCTGAACAAGTTCCTTTGTGGATTAGTAGTGGTCTCCTGGTGGCGTCCTGGTTGTTTGTACTCACCGGGTACGTTGGTGTGTGCAGTTCACAGTCGTGCTGGGAGCCTCGTGCCTGAGGCTGGCAGTGGCGCGGCCGCAGCTGCTGCCGAACCCCTCGGGGCTGTCCGGGCCCGGCTCCGCCCCCGGCTCACCCGTCCAGGGCGCCGGCATGGCCCCTGCCCCCTTCAGCGCGGCCGTCCCCGCGCCCGTGCCTGCGGCCGCCCCCGCCCCCGCGTCCGTCTCCTTCGTGCCGATACTGCAGCAGCAGTTCGAGCAGGCGCCCGACGGCCAGTATCGGTGGAGGTGAGTCGGCTGCCTACGGGCACCAGGGTGCGGTACGTGCCCCTTCTGCCTTGTGACACGGCCCCTCTCCGGGTTGCAGCTACGCGGCAGGCGACGGCACGGCCCAGGAGGCCATAGGCGAGCTGACGGCTGCCTCGCGCGCCATCGCCGTCCAGGGTAGCTACTCGTACCCGAGCCCCGAGGGGCAGGTGCAGGTCAAGTACGTCGCGGACGAGTTCGGCTTTCAGCCGACGGGAGCGCACATCCACCCTGCTATCCTGGAGGCCGTCAGGCGGCAGGTGAGTCCTCGGGTGAGTCGCCCTCGCACTCGGCAGGCGTTGAGGTAGGCAACCGCCCGCGACAGCGCCATGGCGGCACGGCGGGTCTGCCTACCTCTCCGACCGCAGGCGCTACCAGAGCCGCCCATCATCCTCATCTATGTTGCAGGTGGAAAAGGCCAGGGCGGAGCCTCCCAACCTGTACAACGAGTCTGGTTTCCTAACCAATGGCCAGCAGATGGTCATGCCCCAGGGGGGCGCGGCGCTGCCCCTGCCTCTGCCACCGCCATCAGCGCTGCAAACCTCAGCAGGATCGGGACCATCAGGGCCCGCGTTACTGTGAACGAACTTTAACGAGAAAGCCCGGGACAGGCTGTGAGAAGTGATATTTAAGTCCTGTGACAATTGTTTCGTTATTTTGTTGTATTATTTTTTGAGAAATAAAGTGAAATTTGACATGTTATTGGGGAAGGAGTTATCTGTAAGCCCATTTCTATGAACACCAGACACATATATTTGAATCTCTAGATAATTAACAAAAAGATAATTCAATAACAGATTTATCAAAGAAGAACAATTCAAACTTACAAATTGGGATGGTTTGTAAAAAATAGTATTACCACAATTGGTTTTCAAAACCGATATCTCTGATCATCATAATTTTGTTTGGCAATATCAGGGTTGAATTGAGAGTTATACCGCCGTTTCATGATTGGTTTAGGTTCTGGTTTTACATCCTCATCAATGTACGCTACACCATTTATCTTTGCTAGTAATTTTGCTGCCTTCTTCTTTTCTTCCTTTTCCCGGTGCAATCTTTCAGCTCTCAGCTTTTCCAGTTTTGCTTTCTTCTCTTTGTCATCATCACTGTAATCACTGTCAGAATCACTACTGTATTTCTTATCCATTTTTGTTTTTGAGGACTTTGATTTGTGACTTCTCTCTTTCTTGTGTTTTTTACTTTTTTTCTTTTTATGTTTATGGGATACATTTTTGTTTCTTTCCTCTGGTGTTCTTGATCTTTCTCTCTTCTTTGTCTCAGGCACATTATTTCTTGCTCCTGATGCAGGGTGTCTTTCTAAGGAGGGTGTATTTTTTTTAACTACACTACTACAATATTTTTTGAATGAATTTATAGGGTCTGAAGTAACCTTGTGCTTTAAACCTGTTTCTTCACTTGTCACAACTTCTTCTCTCTGAGGACACTTATTATACCAAGACACATTTCCCGTAGCTTCATTTGTGTCTTGTCCAAGATATGTCAGATATCCTATTTGTTTTTCATACTTTTCTTTTTCTTGCTTTACCTCCTCCTCGTGTTCCTTGTTGACTGCTGTACTGGATGTTAGTCCAGCTTCTTCATCAGCAAAGAAATTAATGTGGCCTGTACTAGATTCAGTTGCTGAGCGGCTCTCCTTTTTTTCCTTATCTTCTGTTTCAGTAAAAATAGCTTCACTATTTCCCAGATTAGCTCTTGCACGTGCTCGCATCAAATCACGACGAGCCTCTTTTTCCTGAAAACCAAGAGAAAATATGAATTAAGTGCAAGATAACATTCATGCTGTCAAAATCTCTTTAACCTGTCAATGTAATGTCATATTACTCAATGAAAGTTAACTGATTAAAAAGATGATGTAACAAATTCAGTGCCAAGCCAATTGGAAACCATGCTAGTAGACAGCAAGGTGGCCATTAGCATTAAAACAACGCTTGTAAGGTCCTCTTCCACTCAATCCTCATGCTCTGACTACTTCCCTATCTTTACAGCTTGTTGCTTGGCAATCGTAAATCCCTCTTAATGGATTGTTCTTAAAAAAAATGTACGGTTTAAAATAACGCCAAACATTTTCAGGAACTTGCGTAGAAGGGCAACTTGATTACGTAAAGTACTATGAGGTTCTCAAAAGGATCGATGCTAATAGGTTGACAATGAAGTTAAATCACTGTATTGAAAACATAACACTTACTGCTAGTTTAATTCTTCTTTCCTTTTCTTTCTCTTCCTCTGCTGCTTGAGCCTCATCTCGTCGCACTCGAGCAATATTCTCCTTGGTGCGGACATGCCACCTGGAATTGACAATAATTGCTTCAGCTGTTGTCTGATAATCATAGAGCTTGAAAAATTATTCTGATAGAATAAATATAAAAGTATGAAACTGAACTGCAACTTAAAACTTTTTCTCTCATTGCAAATTCTTTTTCTAATTTGTTTTCATGCTAAAACGTGAAGTGATAACCAAACTTCAAGAATCTCCAATCCTCTTTTTACCACTTCGAATTATATATTCGAATAGACTGAAAACCGCGAAAGTAAACGCCAAATACTCCCTTTTAACTTTTAAATAGAACGTAATATGAAGAGATAAACTCGTGACAAGAATGTTGGTATGAACAAAAATAAGCTGAGAATCACTCAGATGGATTTTAAATGATTTACCTTTTCTTGGGAAGAATATTCATTGTAACGGTTTTAGTGTTTTTGACACCATAAAAAGAGTACTAAATGTCCGGTCGGAACGGCTGAATGCGTTGCTCCTGGCTATTTTCTTGACATTTTGCTGGCATCAGAAACTTCATGAAGAGAGCTGGCTGCAATAACAATAACAACAAGAACAAGGTGCAACAAAACAACAAGCACTTCTTCAAAGTTGCAAACAAAGAGTTAAAACACAGCAAAATGTAATTGACTTTAGCGTGAGTCGAAACTCAAGTGCAACTTCTAGATTTTTAAGAGGTTTCTATTGCCATTTTAAAAACAAATTTCATTCACATTTTTGTAAATAAATAAACATCAACAGCTTTGTCTTAGGATTTAAGGTTGTGGTACGACGTGCTGTAGCCCCAGCAGTTTATGAATCGCAATCGCTCAGCTCAGTCAAACTGTAGTTGATGCGGTTTGTTTTTAAATTTTCCTCATTCAGAAGTGTAAGTCAAGTCTTAATCTAATATTTTTTTGGTTCATGTTTGATCTATTTGAATAATTTTACATGAATTTATCGTGTAATTGAGTTGGAAGTTTTCGTTTTTATTCGTACTTTAAATTTGTAGGTTAGAAGCACCTTGGTTCATGACTAAATTTCTGAAAACGTTTGCATAACGATGAAAAAGCTGCCCCTATAATCTCAAAGTTTTCTTTCTTTCTTTGTTTAAATCATTCCAAGATTCAATTCAATCACACGCTGAGACAGTGTTTGAGGGCTGGACACTAAAGAAATTGTATGGCTTTTTTTGATAATGCACATTTGTTTTGATCTTTTTAGCTCTAATGATGGATGATGACAATGTATATCGCCTGGAGGCACCAGGGCCTCAGGTGGGTGGGCTTATTATCAGGAAAAAAAATGATGACGTCAAGGATTCTGTCTTCAAAGTCCCTGAAATAAAGAAATCTCTTCTTGGCCTTGACAGATTAGCTGGTATGCCTGCCCCACCGTTATTTTCACTCTAAGAATCATCATTACAAATACTTTTATTATTTATTTTGATTTACCTGTGTAGCTGCTCGGAGGAAAGATAAAGACGATGATGACGAGGGTAGCATTTCAAAGAAATCACGGGTCATGTCGTATCGTGATGGTGGTGATGATGATGACGACAGTAATGAAGTTGATGCAAATGTTAAAGTTGCTAAACCAAAAATTGAACGGTGAGTTTCATTATTGTGCAATGCATTTTACTCATTTCAGTACATATTGCATTGATCAGACTTTTCTGTGAAAACAATATGTCTACATTTATTGTTTATTTACTTCTAGGAATTACCGTTCCACTGGAGAAGAAACTCCCACTCATACTGGAGGTATTTCTGATGCTGCAAGGAACCGATTGGCAGAACATACTGCCAAAAAGGATAGGGGCATTCATCTCTCCTCCAAAAGTGACAATCGTTCTCATGCTGAAGAAAAGAGTGATAGAGATCGTAACAGAGATAGGTATTGGGACAATGACAGAAGAAGAGATAAGGAAAGAGAACGAAACAGGGACAGAAACAGAAATAGAGATATGGATAGAGACCGAAAAAGAGACAGGGAGAGAGGAAGGGATAGAGACAGACACAGAGAGAGGAGTGAGAAAGAAGGTATGTATAACTCGATCTTTAATTAGTGTACTTGGAATCTTTCAATAACAGGTAACTTTCTTCATAGATGGTGACCGTAGGCGCAGGACTGATGGCTCAGAGCGGAGTGATCGTAGTAGCGATAGAGGATCTAGCAGCTCTAGGGAGTGGTTAGAAACTCCTCGTTTTTGTGACGAACCTCGCACCCCATCTTTCAATGTGAAGGACACACCCTCCAGGTAAATATTTTATCATTAGGGTCAATTTTTTATGTTTAAGTCCAGGATACTCACATTGTTACTTTTATAGGTCAAATTGGGATGAAGATGACCCTACTCCAGGACGCAAATCAGCTTGGGACTTACCAACTCCTAATGTTCATAAATCAGGGGACTCAGATTGGTCAGAAAGATCCTTTAGACGGAGAACTGATCGGTATGTTCGCAAGACAGTACCTCTCATTGGTTTAGAAACAGATTCTGTATTAACAATGTTTACTTTATAGGCCAGAGAGAAAAGATCGTATTGATGATACTCCTCGTCCGACCCCTGCTCATAAATACAATACATGGGCGAAAGACCGCAAAAAAACTGGTGCAACACCAGCTGTAGGTAAAGGTTAGTACAAATATTTCTCAACTCTTGCAATGTTTCAGTATTATTTGTTTTCTCATATAATTTCTCTTTTTCCAATATTTTCTGATTGTAGAAGATGGTATCCAATGGGCTCAAGATGAAGATAGAGAACTTTGGGAACAGGAACAGAAGCGACTGGACCGTGAATGGTATAACATTGATGATGGCTTTGATGATACTCAGAATCCTTTTTCAAATTTAAGTGAAGAGTATACTAAAAAGAAGGAAGAACAGCTGGAACAGAGGAAGAAGAAAAGAATGTCTGCCCAACAACGACAGATTAATAAGGTATTAAAAATCATATCCAAGGATAAAGTTTTGTAAACATTATTTTTTTAACAGAAGGTCATTCTTTGTTCTCAATCATGATTTTGATTATAAATTTTTCAGGACAATGAATTATGGGAACGTAATCGAATGTTGACTTCTGGTGTTGTTCAATCAGTAGATGTAGATGATGACTTTGAAGAAGAAACTGAAGCAAGAGTGCACCTTCTTGTTCACAACATAGTTCCTCCATTTCTTGATGGAAGAATTGTTTTTACTAAGCAGCCAGAACCAGTGGTTCCTGTAAAGGTAAATCAGCCCTATATGGAGAACACTACAATTGTTGAACAAAAATTGGTGATGTTTGCCAAACAAGTATTTGATAATAACAAGGGTATTTAGTTGTCTTACATGACAAGACTACAATGGGTGCTGAAAACATCACACACGTTAGGTAAAATTGTCATTATCATATTTTTTCTTTTATTCTAGGATCCAACATCAGATATGGCCCTTACATCCAGAAAAGGATCAGCCCTTGTGCGAACATATCGAGAACAGAAAGAAAGGAGGAAAGCTCAAAAAAAACACTGGGAGTTAGGAGGAACAACCATTGGAAATATTATGGGAATTAAGAAGAAGGAGGAGGAAGATGTTGGAATGGGTGAAGATGATCGTGCAGACTACAAAACAGAGCAGAAATTTGCTGAACACATGAAAGACACACCAGCCGCATCCAGTGACTTTGCAAAAAAGAAAACTATATTAGAACAGAGAAGATATCTTCCAGTGTTTGCTGTTCGGCAAGAGGTAACGGAGATTCTACATTTACTAGAATATTCTTTATTGTGATCTTTCTAACGTAACTCTGGTTTATGGTTACAGCTTCTCAATGTTATAAGAGAAAACAATGTTGTTATTGTTGTGGGTGAAACTGGCAGTGGTAAAACCACTCAATTAACACAGTACTTACATGAGGAAGGTTACAGTAAATATGGAATGATTGGCTGCACTCAACCGCGTCGTGTTGCGGCAATGTCAGTTGCAAAGAGAGTTTCTGATGAAATGGGAACTGAGCTTGGTCAAGATGTTGGATATGCCATTCGTTTTGAAGATTGTACATCTGAGGTGAGCCATGAGGGCTTATGAACTTGCTGATTGCATCTATCATACAATTCTGATTAGTGTGGTAATCTATTCTGTCAATTTTTAATTTCAGAAAACTATCATAAAGTACATGACAGATGGTATCTTGTTACGTGAATCATTAAGAGAATCAGATTTAGATCATTACAGTTGCATTATTATGGATGAAGCCCATGAGCGATCACTGAATACTGATGTTCTCTTTGGCTTATTGAGAGAGGTAACTTATCATTCTTAAATCTTTTCTCAAATTTCCAGTACAGTACCTTCATTTTGAGAAATCAAAATAATTTATTGATTTGGTATTTAATTTTACTATAGGTTGTGGCTCGAAGACAAGACTTAAAACTTATTGTGACTTCAGCTACTATGAATGCAGAAAAATTTGCTGCTTTCTTTGGAAACGTGCCATCTTACATTATTCCTGGACGAACATTTCCAGTTGATGTACTTTTCAGTCGAAATCCAGTTGAAGATTATGTTGATGCAGCTGTTAAACAATCTTTGCAAATACATTTGCAGCCATTAGAAGGTAAAATGTTTCCCTTCCTTTCCATTCATTATCTGCTACTTTTTTATTATTTATTTATGTATCTGTTACGGTCCAACCCCGCTGCTGGCCTGGCCCAGGGGAGGTCAGGCCAAGCTGGTTTGCCCTAAGTTGGGCTGAGCCATAGATGGGCCAAAGTAGTTTACATCAACTTGGCCCAAAGGTGTGCGGTCCAAGTCCAAAGTGGTTTTAGAAATTGAATTAAAATCAAAGAGGGAAGTACCATTATTGTTAGACTGGTTGTCATTAGAGTCAGAGTCTCAGTTATCTCAGTTTGGAAAGACGGCTGTCGTGCAGTTTGCTGATCCACTGACATTACTGTACATCAACTTGGCCCCAAGGCGTGCGGGCCAAGTCCAAAGTGGTTTGAGAAATTGAATTAAAATCAAAGGGGGAAGTACAGTTATTGTTAGACTGGTTGTCATTAGAGTCAGAGTCTCAGTTACCTCAGTTTGGAAAGATGGATGTCGTGCAGTTTGCTGATCCACTGACATTACCAGACAAGACTAGATTTTATGACAGACTCTGCGCAGGCTCAGGCACCCAAGACACTCGGTGCACCCACATATCTGGACGCAGCTATAGTAAGTTGTGTTTTTGTTTTACTAACTGTTCAATCTTATTCTAGGAGATATTCTAGTTTTCATGCCTGGCCAAGAAGATATTGAAGTTACCTGTGAAGTACTCGCAGAACGTCTTGGAGAAATAGATAATGCACCAGCACTTTCTATTTTACCCATATATTCCCAGTTGCCCTCTGATCTTCAAGCAAAAATTTTTCAACGGTCACCAGAAAATATACGGAAGTGTGTTGTTGCCACAAACATTGCTGAAACTTCTCTCACAGGTCTGAATAATTATCTAGTCATTGTTTAAAATTATGCTTTACACTTTTCAGATTGGAGTTCCAGGGTTTAGAGTAAAATTAGTAATCTGTAAAATCCTCTATTTCAGTCGATGGTATAATATATGTGGTAGACGCTGGCTACTGTAAGCTGAAGGTGTACAATCCCAGAATTGGTATGGACGCTCTTCAAATATATCCCATCAGCCAGGCGAATGCCAATCAACGATCTGGAAGAGCAGGACGAACAGGACCTGGGCAGTGTTACAGGTATTGTCAAACATCATTGATTTAGTACTTTTCATATTTACAATAACCTACATGTATGTTAAGTTTTAAAAACAAGTGTTAAAAGTGATTTTTGTTTATAGATTGTACACAGAGCGCCAGTACAAAGATGAACTTTTAGCTTCAACAGTGCCAGAAATTCAACGTACCAATCTTGCAAATACTGTACTCCTCTTAAAATCTCTCGGTGTGCAAGACCTTTTGCAGTTCCATTTTATGGATCCACCTCCACAGGTTTGGATGTCTCCTTAACTGCTGTAGCCATTTGTTACCGGCACCAATTTTGTAATATTGTCATATTATGGTCATGGTAATTTTGCAGGACAATATTTTGAACTCACTTTACCAGCTGTGGATATTGGGCGCCCTTGACAATACTGGAACTCTTACTCCTCTTGGAAGGCAAATGGCTGAGTTTCCTCTAGATCCTCCACAATGCCAAATGCTCATTGTATCTTGTCAAATGGGTTGTTCAGCAGATGTGTTAATTATTGGTGCGTAAACAACTTTTCAGTATTTAAGAATTTTAATTTTTGATTTATTTATTTATTGTCAAATTGATTTCCTTTCAGTATCAATGCTCTCTGTGCCCTCCATTTTTTATCGACCAAAAGGGAGAGAAGAAGAAGCTGATGCTGTGAGAGAAAAGTTCCAAGTTCCAGAGTCTGACCACTTGACTTACTTGAATGTTTATAACCAGTGGCGTACAAACAAGTTAGTATTGTTTTAAATCTTTTCATTAGCTGCTCAACCCAATTCTTCAACAAATTTTGATTTTACTTCAGTTATTCTGCATCTTGGTGCAACGAACATTTCATTCATGTGAAAGCAATGAGAAAAGTTCGCGAAGTTCGCCAACAACTGAAAGACATATTGGATCAACAAAAGCTTGATTGTGTGTCTTGTGGAACAAATTGGGATATAATCAGAAAATGTATCTGCTCAGGTAAATAAAACTTGTTTTCCTCTTGTTTGGCCTCTCATCAAACGAACATAATTTGCACATGTGAACCTCTTGCAGCATATTTCCATCAAGCTGCGCGTCTGAAAGGTATAGGGGAATATGTTAACAGTCGCACTGGTATGCCATGCCATCTCCATCCAACATCAGCATTATTTGGCATGGGCTTCACTCCTGATTATGTTGTTTATCATGAACTCATCATGACTGCCAAAGTAAGTGTTAATGAGTATAAAATACCTTCTTTTCAAATTATGTTTGGATATCTCACTGTGTATTTAATTAATGATTTTTTTCCTTGTTTACTTCTTTAGGAATACATGCAATGTGTAACTGCTGTGGATGGCCAATGGTTAGCAGAACTGGGTCCGATGTTCTTCTCTATTAAAGAAACCAATAAGTCTGGCCAGGCTAAGAAACGCCAGGCACAGCAACATTTAGCTGACATGGAATCACAGATGAAGGAAGCTGAAGCTGAAATAATTGCCCGCAAAGAAGAACAAGAACGCAAATTCCTGGCCAGTCAGCGATCGTAAGTTAAATATTTGCAGTTTAATTCTTATTTGAAATAAGAAAATAGAGAAAGTGCTCTAATCATGATTTCTTTTTGTTTCAGGGGAGATATAGTAACACCGGGCACTCGGGAACCTAACACACCTGCAACACCTAGGCGAACACCTGCCAGACTCGGACTCTAAATGTACTTTTTTTTTTTGGAACAAAATCAAGAAAATCAATTTATGAATATATAATTTTAATAGACAAAATGAACATCAATTTTTTTGCACTCTTTTCATTCTGTAGTTGATATTTTGTTGAAACCATTGCCATTATAGCCAATAGTCTTCTTTAACACGTTCCATATAGAGACGATCTGTTCCAAAAGGACAGTTTACCACTGTACCTTTATCTGGTTTTGTGTGTTCGGCCAAATCCCGGTGAAGTTTTTCAAGATATGTAACTTCTTTACATAAATGGGCTGGTTCCATTTCAATGAGTGAACAACATTCTTCCAACAGACGCTGGAAAGACCCTGGTAAAGTATGAACATAGTCTGCAGAGGCTCTTCCTGTTAATTGCAGCATCCAATACTCAGTATGCGGTACATGCAGCATGTTATCTTCATCTTCCTTTGGAAGATTTTCATATGATTTCCTCTGTATTTTCGGACGTCCCCTTTTCCCTGGAGTTGTTACTGAAACATTTGGGTTCACATCCATCTCGGTCACACAAGGGAATGGATCTTTTATGGCCTTATTGACAACTTTTGGAAAAATAAGAGGTTTGTGTAGAGAGAAGAGGCGCAGTGGAGTGGTGTTCATTTGCTTTGGCTTTACAATGACTGGGAGTCTATCCACCTGGTCTAAATGAAGTTTGACTCTGAAAAAATTATTATAAGCATTGCGGGTAAGGGCTTGCTGCTGTTGTTTCTCTGGAAGTTTGATAGTTGACACAGCTGATCCACTGTGCAGTCCTATTCGTAATCCATACTGCTGAGCCCACTCAATGTATCTGGTAAAACATAATAACGATAACAATTCAACTCACTTTAACATTTAACCCAATTTAACTCAAAAAATAGCAAAATGAAGTACAAAATTTTAATACAAACTTTTCTGGATGAGTAAGATAGGAAACTGTTGTAAGTTTGAAGTCTTCACTCAACATCTCAATGTTTAATCCAGCAATGATATTGCTCCAGTCGCTATCATCACATTCAATACCTCCTTCTTGGAATTTCTTAATGATATGCTGCAAAGAAATTTGGAGAAAAAAAAATAGTTTGTGCGCAAAACTGGTATGTTGAATTTGTCTACTTACAATTACCTTTGTGTATGAGGTGTAAGGTATAAGACTGGCTGGAAAAGATAGCATTACATTCTTTTCATTTCCAGGATTACTTAAAGGGTTCTCCAGGAGCTTTTTGGAAATATGTCTGTAAGTGTCTTGAATTACGGCAGAGCGCTTGGCTGGAACAGAGGATAGACACATTACAGTATTAGATGAAGTAGTTTCAATATAAGATTATATAAAAATAAAGAAATTAGGTATTACAACCATCATCATTGGTGACACGGAGAGACTTCTTCCACGCAGAGATGATAGGGTTGACATTTTGCACCATTGAAGTTGACAGGTTGGCTTTTACAAATGATGGCTCGTGGAGAAGAGAAAGGGCAGTGCGCCTTAGAACACAAAATTGCTCCCAATCATCCCACACAAACAAACGCACAGAGCTATTTTGAGAAGCAATCAACCTAAAACAAAAAAAACGAAGTAAGCATACTTTACAGGTTAATGAAACAATAAGGTTGATATAAGATACTGACTCATTAAATCTTCTAGCAATCCGTGAGTTTCGATGTTCAGTTGCATCATCTAATCCAAACAGAAGTTTTACTGCTACTATTATGTGAGCCATAGCTCTTCCTTCCCAATTAGGCAAGGATTTTCTGAGAGACACAGGGACATACTCAACTGGCTTAGGAAGCATGTCAAAAAGACGTTCCGCAATTAAAGCAACTTGCTCTGAAATAAAAAAAATTAATAAAAACTACCCAACTTGGTGTACATTAAAACAAATCTAATGAATTTGGCTAACCAGGAAGATTTAATTCTTGTACAAATCTTTTAATTAACTTTCTGAATGAAGGAACCTTAATGGTTTTTATACCAAGGTAAGCAGCTATATGCTGAGTTGCAACTAGAATACAGCCATAAGTAGGAGTAGGTTGATATCTAGTTAAAAGAGCTTTATTTAATGTGTGCAATTTTGTTCCAAGGGGGAAAAATTTGGAAAGATTGCAATAAGACAAATGGCCTTCAGAAATCCACCTACCAAGAAGAAAGAAACATTATTCAAAATTTTGAAAAAGGCAATAAAAATAAAGTGATGGGAAAAAAATGCTGGTTCTTACCTCAAGAGATCACTGAGATTGATCTCTTCATCATGAGTTTCTAGAATACCCAAGTACAACAGACAGATAAGTTTGTTGCGAACCAATATTCCTGGGTGGGATTGAAGAGATCCAAGAACTTTTTCCTTTTTCTTGGCATCAGAATTAAACCTGAAGCAGACAAGCATTAAACAGAGGGGTAATCAAATTCAGCCATTTCTTTGAACCAAAGACACTAACTGTAATTCTTTAGGTCCTTTATCATCCACTTCACTGACTGATAACATATCCAGGGTTACGTCAGTCAATGTTTGACTTGCGGTGGACATTTCAGCTAGCATTCTCTCATAATTTTGATGGAAAGCAGAGTTCTGCAATAAACATGGAAAGGAGAGAGAAATATAATATACTAGAAGGGAGGATAGACCTAAGCAATAAACAATAAATAAGGTTTGGTTTTCATGCCTTTTGCTTGAGTGTTTTCTTCCTTTTCAAAGATTCATTTAATGGATCATCTACACCAGTTTCATCAAGAGAGTTGTTACAGTCCTTTTCATTCTGCTGCTCATCTATAGATTTCTCTTTTGTTTTTGTTGACTTTCTCTTTTCTCTCACATACCCATAAATTATATTAGCATCGCTGGAATCAAATTATTAACTTCTATTTGATCAGACGACTACAGACCAAATTTACGATACCACAGCATTAAAAAAAAATATATTACTAACGATTTGTTGAAATTTGGTCCAAGTTTGGGAACAGTAAGATTGTTTTTTGTAAAAAAAGCAACTTCCATTTTCCCTAAGTAGGAAGTCCATAACTTTAAAACTGCCAGTTTAAGAGAAGGTTTGGCTCCTAAGAGTATCAGCTCATCAACTAACCCGACTAAGGCATAGTTAAAACCTTCCCATGTCGTGATACTTGCTGAAAATAGAAACCAATCAACAACAATAATAGATACATAATAGATTTTACATTATAGCACTATTCAAGGTACCACTGAAAAAATTCAATTCCTGCCAAAGTGATCAAAACTGATTGAATTTAAGAGTACAACACTTCGAGTTCCAAACTTACCATCTTCGTCTTCAGATGGTGTGCTCTCAAAAAATTTGGCAGATTTTCTTCTCTTACCACCTATAACTTTCCCTTCATCTGCACCATCGTCATTTTCGTTAACTTCCTCTCGGACATCCTAAGAATAGCGAATTACACAAATTTGTATGAAAAGACGAGTGATATGATAAGCAAAGCTGAAGATTGGTCGGTGAACAGACCTGTGACTGTGTTTGACATTCGTTACAAAAGTAATAACCAGACTCGCAAATAAAATCAGTTCCGGTACAAACTGTGCAAACGGGCATCTTGAATAAACTGTTCAATCAAATTTCAATGGCAGCCAAGAGCAGCGAGATCTGAGGGAAAGTAGATACACAAATTTATGAATTACCAGTAGGAAAAATAACCTGAATATCACGTGCTTAATGATCCCAACTCCAATAATTTAATCTAGATCTACATTTACCTAATTCAAGTGTAGAAAAAGAAAATTGCAATAGATTTATACAGGTTAAACTGCTATTATCAGGAAAACTTTATCCATTCCTGATGATTTTTTTCTATTTTGTGTACATTTTACACTGGTCAGCGGCAGCGCATTTAACATCTGCGAATAAGACAGACAGACCACTATTTGCAGGGATGAGTTGTAGTATTTTAGGTGTTTTAGTCGTTTTAGTATCCGGTTTACCAGACAAATGTTGTCGGTGACTTTCACAAAGACATATCGCACAATACTTTATACCCTAAAATCGCGTCGATTTGAACTCGCTAAGCACAACAGCACAACCCTCTCCCCTTTCCCGCCGTTCTCCTTCCCTTCCCCTTCCCTTACAGCAGGGCTGTGTATCTCTGTAGCGGGGGAAGGCCGCAAGAGGGGCCGCAGCAGACGTATGTTGACGTTGCTATGGCATATTGGCATATTCAAGGAAGACGGTACTTGGCGATACCTGATTCTTGCAGACTTTAGAAATCGTGTGTTTGCCCCCTCCCTCCCCCCGTTTTTGGGAACACATTTTGTCGGGCGGAACGAACGAGAATAGACAGCAACTGAGGACGAAACGCAAAACTGTGCATCAAACAGAAATATGGCTGGGAAGGCAAAGGGGAAAAAGAAGGCAAGCTCTGGTGCTGCGACTAAGAAACCATCGAATGGAGGCAAAAATGGAAGTGGTGGAGGGAATAGTGATAAAAAGAAGAAAAAGTCTGGAGGTAAAAGGAAGTCTGGTGGTGGAAGCAAATCGAGATGTAATATTGACATTTTCAACCCAATCGCCATGGAAAATGCCTACTACACATGCCACAACATACAGGATGTTTTGTACTGCAGAGGATTTCCTTGGCCTGATGCACAGAAAAAGAAGAAAAAGGGAAAGAAGTAATAGAAGTTTGCGCTGTAAGTTTATAGATAAGTTGACGGTTAATTTGCTGTAAATTAGCTATCGCAGAAGAGTAACCATAGTCCTTCAATATAAAGGAGTGATTAAATAAGATTGTAAATGTAATAATGCTTGTTTAAAATGACTTCAGGGTTCATAGATGAGAAAAACTCAAAATTTTCACACAAATTTTCTATTTAAACACAATTTCCAAAATATGTACACATTCACATCATTACTCTACAAAATAATGTTAGTACAGATTTTAGTATGATACAAAAGCTAGAACATAATACAAAATATACAAGTTATAACCAGATCTCCTATATAATACAATTATCACTTTGGCTAGCATTTACATATGATGATAAAATTGGTTAGCTGCAAGCCAAGGCAATTCACATAATATCTAGCCTGTTGCTGAGGGATGATTTAATATAACAAATGTTAAGATAATTTAGAGGCACAAATACCTCTAAGAGACTCTTAGTAATCATTCAATTTATAAGAGATACCTAAATTGTGATGCTTGTACACATTTCACCCATACAATTTGTAAAATAAGAATCATTCCTTTATTGCCAACCCTCACATTATCAATGCTACTTATCTACTGACTATGCAAATTCATTCAGTTGTGTCAGAATGAGACAAGAAAACTAGTACAGATCAGATATTTACTATTAATATTCCCCATGAACTGAAAAACAGAATCCCTTGAACCACTTAGGTAGTAGCAAACTCATTTATGCATGTCCTCACAGCCAACACATTATCCCTAAATTATGTAAAATATTTTGTTAAGCATTCCTCTAATGGGTATAATCAGCAAAAAAAGCTTGATGTACAATAGACAACAACGAAAAAATAATTCATTTGTCACATAACCACATTTGACTAAGCATTTCCTAAAATGAACACATATATGTAAAGTTGTCATGCAAGAGTCAGTATTTAAACATAGCAGTTAAAAATCATTGAGGTTGGCAATAAATGAGGGAATTCAGATTTCAACAAATATGAAGATACTTGCTTTTGGAACACAAATGACAAAGGGGATTATCACAAACATGTCAATCAATACACAAACAGCCAATATCACAAACATTTTCCAGCCAATACTTTCAAATAACTTACAACTCCACCAAATTAAAGCGGTCAATGCTAATAAAAATACTAAAATGCCCAACATTCTTTAAACAAAAAATTTTCTTTGAAAAAACTGAAATTTTACCAAATTTTGAAGTAGACCTTTAGATAGAGATACAAATGAAAAGGCCACAACATAGGAGAGGTTGTGAATCCTAAAAGACTAGGACATTTACTGCGAACACCAAAAAAGTTCTGTTTTGTCAACCCCATTAGTCCTCCCACAGGCACGGAAAGGCTTGTTTTCTTTTTTATACAAATCTGTTCATTTCACTCTCTTCTGCTGCTAAACCTCTGAATAGCCCTCAGCAAGTTAACACAAATTCTTCACCATTACAGTCTTCAATTTTGAATGAACAAATACTATGACATGACATCTTTGTGGGATGAAGGGCAGTATGAACCAGTGTTCGGTAAATTGTTTGAAAACATCTTAGAAATTATCATCTGAACAAACCTCAAGGTAAATTTAGAAAATATGATTTCAGTAGAGGAAGCGCTATATAAAGTATAATTTGAAGGCTCTGCCCGCCCTACTAGAGACTCCCGCAATCACAATACAATATCATATTTGAA